ACATATTTTCAGGGTCCCATAAAGAAACATAAATGTACAGTGTACATGTAGGTAAATCATCATCAGTAACCCGATGACAGCGCCGGATACCAGTTTCCTGCTGTTATTAATGGTCCTGTCTCGGTCTCTCTATGTCCCCTTGTACTCTGTGCAGGTCTGGCGCTCTGCCAAACTCCCTCTGGGGTCAACCACAACAGGAATTCGAGTTGAAGAAATAGGAAGAAGGGAGGGATCGGCTTGGACAAACCCCAGAATGGAAATACTTGAAAGTAGTGTTCTGTGTAACCATGGCGGCAAGCCAGTACAAGTACATGTACAAAGTCGGATAGAATGTTCCAACATGTACATTGTACATGTATAGAATTTTTCACCACACAAAACATATTGTGCAGGTGTCATATCCATGAACAATGGAAAGAACTTCTATTCATTTGAGTGTTTACATCTACCTGTGACTGTACAATTACTTAACCCTGATGCCCTTGGCTATTTTACTCTGAAGTCTCCTAAATAAATGCACTCCACCAACTCTAGACATGACCTAACTAGTGACACATTCTTTGTGTATACACTAGTACATGAACCAAACTGAGAAGTCCCTCAAAGTGCAAAGTAACCATGTGCAGACAGCTCCTTCAAAATTATGTTGAAGTATTTCTGGCAGTAATGGTTACCCACTAATGACAAGTGTGCCTTTAGGATACATGGATTTATCAAATAAAACCACATACCAGTACTGGTAGGCAGGTGGTACATACAATGTAGGAATTATTGTCTGTCTTGAACTACTGAACTGGAATTAGCTGTGTATATATATATATATATATATGTATGGATGTGTACTATAGAAAGAACAAAATCACAGGCTTGTTGAGTTCTCTCAGTTTTTAATTGAAAACTATATGTATAAACCTTGTTTCTACAAATTTGCTAAAAGTGACTTGTGAAACCTTTCAACAATTTGTTAAATGTCCGTGTAGTAATAGGACCTACTCTTCAAGAATAAATGTGATTCAAATGGCCACCATACCAAATCACTATGTACAAAGTGTTCACAATATCTGATTTATGGCTAGGTACCAGTAGATCTGAAATTTTCTAAAATAAGCTGCTCCTGGCTTTGTTCATGGTGTACTTATCAAGTAACACCACTGATAAGCCAGTATGCCACCTGTTCCCAATGAACTTCAGCATGTTACTGTTAAAAACTGTTTATACATTGCAAATAAGATTTTACTGTTGGTTAAATATCAACAAAGACATCTGCTGTGCCTATGTACATTTCCAAAACCTCATTCAAAGATGATTCATTTGTTGTTAGTGATGTATGTTGATTCATTCATTCAAAATACCCGGTACATGTACTGCTTACAAATCCACTTTAACATGCCCACAACAAAGAGTTGAATACAAATATCTTGTACAAGTTTTTATCTTAATTAATAATAAGGAAACATTTACCTACAGGGGCCTACATGTACATTACAGAACAAATATGCTCACCCGCATACGACAATACCAATCACTAGCTGAGGTGTAAAATTAGTTGGAAAAGCTTTCTTAAATAGATGAGTTTTTAGAACAGTCTTGAATGTGTCAACGATTAGGCATTTCTTAAATCAAAGGGCAGGTTGTTCCAAAGCCTAAGAGCTGGACAAACAAATGCGCATGTCTCCAAGAGTAGCCTTACATGTAGTTCTACGACAGGGATGACTAAGGATCAACCTTTCAAGAATTACACAAGAATTCAGGAAAGTTGTATACATACTGTAGGCCCTACACGTACATGTTCATAACCCACAACACAATGGCAATTCATATACAAGTAGGAAAGCAGTTAACTTGTAAGAACCTACAACCTCCAAAATATACATGTATGTACGGAGTCTCCTAAAAACATCCATGTACATTTAATGAGCATGTGCCTGTGCCTTGGTACATGTATATGTACATGTATACTAATATACCAGTACACGTATCGTCAGTACATGTGATTTGATACACTGTACTGTCATCAACAGCACACATAAGGTGGGGAAAAAGTCAACTTTAATGTACATGTACAAATACCATACCAGTGTGTGCAGCCTTGTACTAGTGCAAGTTACATGTACATGTACATGTAAAGTGCCACTTCATGAACATGTTAGAATGTCATGTACATGTCATGTACGTGTACTAGTACATACATGTATCTAACTGTACTCATATGGTAGTCATTTCAACGTTCCAGTGGCATGTATGTAAAATGTTCATGTACATGTGTATTTAACAATCACATCATGACTGCATCATATGCAGCACAAAAAAGTACAAAAATGTATCATTACAATATATACAATGTACATGCACACGTGTTTTGAAATTCAATGTAACACACAACAGTTTGTCAAGAGTACAATTATGACAATCTGTGTTGGTAGCCTCCCCCCCTTTATAATGGTACATCCTGTTGGCAAGCTGCCAGCCACTTAAGTAAAGGTCAAAGGGTTGATGTGTGGGTTAGGGACGAGCACAACAATTCCTGTCAGCAGATAATTATTTACCATACCCGTGGGGCTCAATAAAGTTATATGGGGACTCATTTTGTGGCATACAGCTTACTGGATTCACAGGAAAGAAACAATTACTGAACATGTACATGTGTCAATTCAATCATTATTTCACAGCAACTTCAGAGACTGTTTCTGATGGGGATGGGATTACAGACCTGTGTTAGGTTGTTTGTTTGGGTTAAAAACTTGTTAAGAACTATGACAATATCCAAGCTAAAAATTATTATTTTTGTCTTTTCGGTTTACAGAGTCCGGGAAAGGATCCAGAAAAAAAAGTGTCAAATGTATAAAAATGGCAAAAACTGATGGCTGATATTTGCATGTTTACCACCGACTGCATTGAACATGTACATGTACGGTACATGTACACCTGTGCACTGTGCTTCAGGTACCAGTACATGAACATCAAGGGAAAAAAATTGGATTCGGTCTCATATGAACGTCATCAAGTCCTGATATGATTCATACCCGGACTAAAGAAACCAAGAATTGTTTGTTTTCAGGATTGAGAAATTTCTACCTCAGCCAGAATAGATTTCATATGCTTGTACCAGTAAATGGAAGTAAAAAAGTTTTATAAATTCATTTTACAGAGACTAAAATGTTTTCCAGTAAAGGATTATGACTTATTTTCAAATTTTGGGAAAAATCATTTTAAATCAATATGTCATATTTCACTACTTGAAAGTACATGTAGTTGAATGTGTTACACAAATCACACCTACCCTACAAGTAATGGAGACAGTTGAATTCTACATGATGTAGCGGTACATGTATTGTAAATGTATGCATATGGACGACATACATAAATTTTCAATACATACATGTGCATGTACCAAATAGTGTCCATGTTTTTACACATAACACACTCTGCACATGTAAGTAATTCATACGGCAGTAGGGGATTCCCACCCTTCCTGCTTGATGATGAAATCGCCGAGATGACAGAATCTGCCTTCCTATTTCAATCTTATTTGTTCAATTGCCTTACAGTTTCCCATCATTTTCAGACAATTGGTCATGATTGGGTGCAAACATTCAGAAGCATTTAGAAACAAAATCTTCTAGGAAACGCTGTCCATTCTAAGACAAACAACCCATACATGTACCGGTACATACAAATAAAGTACTTGTCCTTATTTGTTCGGATAAAAATGCCAAGGAATTTCATGCTCAGAGGTAAACAAGTCAGTATACCGGTACAACCGGATCTCAGTATTCTGTGGGCATTTTTTCCCTCTGGCCAACAAAACCATCAATACTTCAGCGCCGATCAAATTCCAGAGCCAAAAATATCTTTGATTGATTCTTTTTTTAAAAGAGTGTGTATTACTATTCATATTTCTCCTAGTAAGACTTTTCTTCAATTGGTTTAGAAGACATGTACATGTACCGGTACTTGCACTCTACACATGTTAAAAATAGAGATTTTCACACCACACGGATAGTGTGATTTCCCCCACTGTTTTGTTGAGCAGCTTTGTCACATGCTTTTTAACTGCTGCATATAAATTTAATGTACTGGAATGAAACAGTCAAATATGACATTTCTGTGCAATGGCTGCTGCTTTCACTTCGTATGCGGTGTTGACAGCACTTGACAATGAAAAACAAAAAATACATGCAACACACTTGAACCAAATTTGGAAACAATTTGGGTAAGATTAGTCATGCAATCACCATCTACATGTACATTATGTAGCAATACCATGCCCTACATGTATATACTGGCCCACATGTACCGGTAGATCCCATTAAAACCAAAACAAAATTAATCACACATAAATTAAAAGGCAATATACATGTACAGTACATGTACAGGTAATATTTATCTGTAATAAGACCAAATCTAAATCCCCAAAAGATTTGTTCCTAGGAATCTACAACTACTAAATATTTCTGGCTAGAATTTCACTTGATGTACACGTATGGCATGATTGTAGTAGACTCATGTGCATTCTGTCTGTTTTGGGTTTCTCTAACACATTTGAAGGAACTCAGATCTTTTTTTGTCCTTTCAAAGCAATGAAACAAAATCATGCACAATTTTCACCAAATATTGCAAACTGAACCAAGGTTCTGATGCAATGACAATACCTTTCATTACAGTCCTTTTGTACATGTTCCAGTACATACAGATTTCAAAATACAAAGTTACTGTGGTTATTAATCTTGAATTTCCCTGTATACCGTACACACAGTTGTTTCTATTGATTATGACCATCTGGTTTGTAAAAAGTAATACAACATATGTACATACATGTACATCATACACGTGCAATGCACTGGTACATGTAGTTCCCAAAACAGGAAGGAACTGTTTCCAAAAGTACCGGTACATGTGCTTTGTAGGAAAAGTCCGGATCTTCCTTTGTTTTACATAGCCACAAAAATGAAGTCAAGTGTACTGGTATCGTACACGTGGGTGTGTACGGTAGAACTTACCGGTAGAAGGTGAACCTAAAAAATGTATCAATGTACTCTGAACAGGTGTACAATGATTTCACTCAAATGCACAACACACGCCAACTCATTCGCTACAGTATAATCCTCCTACGTGTACATCTGTCAAAAGCTAATGGCTGATTTTAGATGGAATCAAAATGAAGAGAAGAAACCAGTTTCTGTTCAGAAACATAACAAACACTGTACGTGTACAGTATGTGTGCCTTACTGGTAGGTCATGGCATGCTGAAACATTTGATTTTGGCAGATTCAGTGCAGGTACATGTATACCATATGTGAATGCACAAATACTCTTGATTTCGAAATAGTCCTGGGTAACAGGACATTAAATCAGAATTACCAGTATTACACAGAATTAGACTATCTGTGTTTTAATACTACTGGGACCTCCTAGCCTGACACTAACTGTGACATACCGGTACATGGACACGCCTCATGGTCAGCAATTCCCATTAACACCTCTCTATCTGTCCCTTTTTAAAACTCATTTCCGAGAAATTCCAAGTACAATGGTGAACCCTTTCCAACATGTAATTCACAATCAGAAAATCAATAAAACTTTTAACATCTGACTATTAGCTTGTCCCCAGGAAACCTGATTATCTGATAAAAGCTTTTCTGATACCAGTAAGCTTGGTTGACACACACACACACACACTAAAAATCCAAGACCTTTGACATCATGTGAACTTGTCTGAACAGATAAATTAGTAAATTGATCCACAATGGCTTCCTAACAAAAACTGACAGAGGTACATGTATACATACATGTACTCAGCAAGGAATATACGCACAAAACCTGGCCTACTAAATTGTAGCCTTTACTTAATGCACAAGTGCTACAGAATATAAAGCAACTGCCAAAGATGTGACGTACTGAAACATACATGAACTACAATTTATTTTTCAAAAACAAAACAATTATTGAACAACATGTACTGTACGGTCGCAGGGGATGACAGAGGAACCTGTCCTTTTGTGTTTTCAGCTGTCACATGACATCATTGTAAACCTTCCTCCCTGCTGTGAATAACTTGTCCTTTCATGTTTTTACCTGTCACAAGACACACTGTGAATAAATCCCTTCATTAATATTCATGAATGAGTCTAGTGAAACCATATGTTGTAGCAGATAAAAGGCATACTAGTCCTCGCCACAGTATGAAAATATGCCAATATGCCGTTAGAAATTTATACAAATTTGACTTTAGGGTTTTCTTTTTTTGCACTTACATGTAACAACTGACATGGTAACGATGAGTGTTTTAAAAATATTTGATTGTTAGTACATGTATCAATACATGTACATGTACTAGTACCTGCAAGTAACATTTTTGTGAAAAATAAAAACGAGCATTTTCATGGTACACAAGGAGGACTCTCACATTTTATGCATCTTTATACTTAGCAACTCCTGAAAAGTACAGGACGGAGTCAATTCAAATAATTCACAATTCAAATATTCAACCTTCAATTTGATCAAATATCCAAATATTTGGTCTTACCGACCAACAGATTGTTGATGATTAAGCCATAAAATAATTGTAATAATGCACACAATTGTACCTTACAATCACTTTAATAGCTTCTCACATCTAGGAGTATCTCCAGCAACTATTTAGCAAGATTTAAGAAACGAACAGTACTTTTTGCCCTGTTGAAAATTTCTATTCCTTTTAAATTTTTCAACCCTAATCCCCTAGGGAGTATGTAAAAATAATTTTGAAATCAGAGGATTTGGGACCGTACGGGCTACTGTATAGTTTACTTTTTGAGTTGTTACATTTCAGTCGTTTTTTTCATTTGAATCTGCGTGAAACAAGCCCCTATAATGCAATTTTTCTCATTTAAAACAAAGAGAAATTCACCCTTCCTTATCATGAATTTTGTATTCGAATATTCAAATTTGGAATACAGTATAACATTCAAATATTCGATAATCAACAGAATATTCGGATATTCGGCACAGCTCTAGAAAAGTACTGTTGTTACCTGTAAAATCACGGGGTACCCTAACTCCCTAGAGTGTGTGCAAAAACATATTAAAATTGGAAGATTCAAGACTGTTCGGGTTACTACTTTAATACTTAGAAATTTAGAAATTAAAAATTACAAACAAAATTTTGTTTCCCCAGATGAAACAACTGGAATGTGCATGTACATAATTGGCTGTCAAAAGGAAAAAAGTGACATGTACATAATGTGTGTCATGGCATGATGTACGCAATGCTTCGTCGATTCTTGTGGTTTTATTTCTCACCGGGAATGAATTATCATTTGGCAAAAGCCAGTACTGTAATGAAAAATATATCCTATCAAGCATGAATGCCTGTTAAGCCACACTTCATGACTCAGCTTTTTGGGCCGTGGCCAAGAATTCTTTCGTTTTATAGAGAAAATCTGTGAGAAATTATTTTTTCATGAGGCAGTTTACAAAATCCAGTTGTTGAACAATGGCAAGTAATGCCAAATCCAGGAAGCTACCCATTTATTGGCAACATCAAACATTGTTAACAAAGCCTCGCTTGTATCAAAACTGGTCTTTCTGGAATGATCCTTAGACAGGTTTGTCAAAGGGAGACTGAGTCCTTTCACAGAGTCCTTGCCCTAGTTACATGTACGGTAGGTACATGTAGATAGATCCAAACTTGCCATTTAGGCACACCAGTAGACTGGTCAAACCAAACAAAAACCTGACCACTCAATAATGGACAATGAGAATACCAAGCACGGAACCCCTGGTTGGTGTGATCTTTGTTTGTCACTGAATAGCCATCATAATGATCTGAACCCACAGCATGAGATTTCCACTACACTGTGAATGGATTGACCGACCACTAAGCTTTACTTTCCCAACTCAGAGTCCCACTAGCTCATGAAAGGAAGGGGGGTTTTGATACTGACAGTTTCTAAATGTCCGAAAAGGCCCAGACCTTATGTAAGCTTTGCCAAAAAAATCAACTACTGTGGGGAAGGCCGACTGTGTAAATTTGCATCAGAATGCCGTCTACACATGCTACACCTCACATCTTAAATATTGAATACTGCACCAGTACGATGTGTGCTGGACCTTCCGACCAAAAGATTATCACATCATGATGATCTCTGAATGATATTCCAAGAACCAGGGAAACGAATGGCGGACAGAACTCATTGAATCACTTAAGATTGTTTTACATTACTAGACCGTAGAAATGGGATGGACTTCAAATTGTGCCCAAAACAAAAAATGACCAGAATTGGAAAAATTATTTGTAGGCTATTGCAAGTACATGTATTTCGACATCAACAGACCTATCCAAATCTATCACTGTACAAGTACCTCTCCCTTCATATACCAGTATGTATTTTGTAACTGTCTCAAAAGTGACAAATTTTATGTCGTATGAAGAAAGAAAGAATTGGCCCGCAGACTGCAAAACTGACACTGTCAACTAAAATTGTGAACCTACCGGTATTGAAATGACATTTAATCATGCATCAACTTTTATCTTCTTTTAAATCAGAACCGTTCAACATTGATGTTTACACATTGAAACTTTTCATGACAATGGATAAAGGGAGAAGAATAGCTACAAACTCCTGGCCTAGAATTGGTAATGCAAGTCTTTTCACTGCCATTCAGGTTGTGTACCTACATGGAGTATGTACATGTGGGTAGGCATCTACCACGTTCAGGGGACAAGTTGTTTTGTTATGGAAATTTGAACTGAGTTGTGGGGACATTTTTGAGTCCCCACAAGGGTTTTGGTCCCCACAAAAAAAGGTGAAATATCGAGTGTACATGAATTTCCTCACAACTACATGTACATGTATGGTGCGGGAATGTGTGTAGATGTACAAGAAGTTCCTTTACTCAGCATTATTTTCCCACGCACTGTCGCCACTGCACATGATGCTTTAAAGAGCATGTTCAGCCATGCACTCAAACTGGTACATGTGCTGTACATGTATAACATACTCATTTTGGGTTAATAAAACTGGATTCATTACATCTCAAGTTCCTTGCGTGGGTAGCCCATGAATATTTAGACTGTACATACCGGTAGATAGTATTTGCCAAACATGTAAAGACTTGTTTTTATAATCCCAACAGAAAACAATCCTCACAAAATATCTATCACTTCTTCTTGCACTGGGTACAACAAAATTCAATTAATGCTGAGGATATAGAGGACCCTCCAGAGAAAATATAACAACATTTCCAAGTTAATTAAACGGAAAATTGCAGGTGATAATTAAATACAGTGTGCAGAATGTGTGACTGTAATGCAGAGTGGGCAAGACAACCTTTTTCATTACTATAAACCATTCTCCTGCTGCCAGCAAGGGCAATTTACCATTCATACCGTTTCCCAGAAACGGTGTGACAATGTAAACAAATTTTAAACACTGATGGACAACCTTGTTTATACACCATGCATTAATCAAAACAGGACAAGTATATTCGTATCGACAAATCTGACTGGTGATAAATGATACACACTGTGTACATGTACATGGGGATATACATGTGTAACAAGAAATGACCTGAACATCTACAGAAAGAAATTCTAGTTTTTTCATTTGCTTCTTCAACAAGGGCAGTTTTGTTGATGTACACTACATCAATGCACACTGATCCATCTTTCTTTCAATTCACATACCAGTCTGACATGTTTTCCAGAATACTTCTCCCCCCATGCAAATTACTCATTGCCTTGTGCCCTCAAAACGTTCATGACACACAAACAGTCCTCTTGTGACAGGCAAGTGTGTTTTTCCGTCTTTCCAAAGATGCAGTGATTCTCCCCGCATGACCCAAAATAATCGCCAACTGTCTACGAGTGTGAGCCTGTGTATCTTGTAATCTGCCATTAATTTCTTTGGCATTATGACAAGATACAAGTACCTACACCCCAAAATGAGAAATTTGTCATTTTTCTTACACTGTTAATGTGTCTTCCTCTGGTTACAACACTTATAAATTTTGCATACCGTAACATGTCTTCAACTTGGTTTTTTTTTTCTTTTCCTGTTAACATTGTGAAATTGTGCCTGCCTACCCTTACAATGGCCAAAAACTGCAATAACATGAGTATCGACATGTACTTGAATCACAGAGTTTTGCTGAACAGGTCTTGCCAATATATTTAGACTTAGAACCGGTACAACAGATCACTATACATGTAATTCACCAAATGAAAAGAACATGCAATGCAAACCTGTAAGAATAGAAACGGAGTCAAGCAAGCCAACCCGAATCTACCTCTGACTCTTTGTTCATTGTAACAACCGCTTATCAAGTACAACACAATGAAACCGAAAGA